GTGGAGGGGGTGAGGGGTAGGTGTGGGGGCTGGGTGTTGGAGCACTCGGGGTCAGATAGGAACATGTAGAGGGCGGGACAGGCGGGCTGTGAGTGGACAGAGTGGCAGTCAGTGAGGGCACCTGAGATGGATCAGAGTGTTGGGAATCCTGGGGCCTCAGTCGGGGAGGAGGGCGGAGGAGGAAGGCAGGATGTAAGGGTGGCTGTGGCTGAAGACGTGAGAGCATGGGTCCTGTGGCAAGGTGGGGGATGCCAGCCACACCCCTTCCGTTTCTGGGTTATGAGGGGGCCCCGGAGTCCTAGGAAAGGCTGAGACTGCATTGGGAGACTTGGGGCTTGGGTGACAGCCCTTTGTCACCTGGAAGAGAGAGTTCCTCTATGAATGGGCCCCTCATGGGTGGAGCGTCATTGTGTTAGGCCAGAGGCCCAGCCGACACCCCAACTGACCCAGCCCCCTCCACCCACAGACACGGTCCGCTCCTTCCTGAAGCGCAGCAAGCTCGGCAGGTACAACGAGGAGGAGCGGGCGCAGCAGGAGGCCGAGGCTGCCCAGCGCCTCGCCGAGGAGAAGGCCCAGGCCAGCTCCATCCCAGTGGGCAGCCGCTGTGAGGTGCGGGCAGCGGGGCAGTCCCCTCGCCGGGGCACCATCATGTATGTAGGTGCGTGGCAAGGCTGGAGGGAACGCTGTGCGTGCAGAGGAGCCTCATGCTCTGCCTTGGGGTGCTGGGTGGGGGGCTTGAAACTATCTCAGTCTCTGGAGTAGGCGGACCCATCTGCCGACACTGACCTCCAGAGTGTTTGTGGAGGGAAGTGGGAGGCACAGGTGGAGTCATCTGTCCGGCGAGGGAGGAAGCAGGCCAGTCTTGCGAACTGTGCAGCTTGGAAGCGCAGGGCACAGTGTCAGTCGCTGCCGGGAAACGGGGTGACCAGGAGTGAGGGGAACGCAGGGGCTGTGAGCCCAGAGGAAGCACCTGAGGGCTGGGAGCTTCTGAAGGAAAGGGGGCAGCAGCCAGGTGAAAAGAGGGGAAGAGTTCCCAGGAGTAGCCGGTGCAGTTGAGCAGGAGGTCCATCGGGGAAGGGGAACGGAGGAGAGGGGAGAAGTGAGGTCAGGGCATGGGCAGGGGGACGTCACAGTGGAAAGCAGGGTGGATTTTTTAAAAAAGAGCAGGCCAGGCATGATGGCTCATGCCTGTAATCTCAGCACTGTGGGAGGATGAGGTGGGAGGCTTGCTTGACCCGGAGTTGGAGGTTACAGTGAGCTATGATTGTGTAGTCATTGCATCCCAGCCTGGGCACCAGAGAAATACCCTGTCTCCAAAAAAAAAAGGCTGGGTGCAGGGGCTCACACCTATAATCCCAGCACTTTGGGAGGCTGAGACAGGAGGATCACTTGAACCCAGGAGTTTGGGACCAGCCTGGGCAACATAGTGAGACCCGAATCTGTAACCAAAAAAAAATGCCACAAAACTTTAGTCAAGTGTGGTGGTGAGCACCTATAGGTGCCCTAGCTACTTGGGAGGCTGAGGTGGAGAAGGGCTTGAGCCTGGGAGGTGAGGCTGCAGGGAACTATGATCACACCCCTGCACTGCAGCCTGGGCGACAGAGCAAGACCCTGTCTCAAAAAATAATGAATGAATAAATAAAAAAGATTCAGGGGGGTACGTGTGTATTGTTATACGGGAGTGTTGCATGCTAATGTGGGGGGACTGGGCTTCTAGCATGTCCATGACCCAAATTGTGAGCATTGTACCCAGTAGGGAATTTTTCAAGCCTCAACACCCTCCCCGCTTCTGGCATCCCCACTGTCTGCTATTTCCATCTTTATGCCCGTGTGTACCCATCCCCCAGTCATCTGCAGCCACTGATGTATATTCTGTCTCTAATTTGCCGATTCTGGATGTTTCATGGAAATAGGATCATGCAATCTCTGGCCTTTTGTGACTGGCCACCTCTACTGAGCAGAAACATTTTCAAGTTTCATTCATGTCACACGTGTGTCACTGTTGCCAGATAGTACTGCGTTGTACACATATGCCACATGTTGTTTATTCGATCATCAGTTAGTGGACATTAGGGTCATTTCTACTTTTTTTTTTCCCTAATTTGAAACAGGGTCTATCTGTTGCCCAGGCTGGAATGCAGTGGCGCAGTCTCAGCCACTTCAGCTTTCACCTCCTGGGCTCAAGCCATCCTCCCACGTCGGCCTCCTGAGTAGCTGGGACTATAGGCATTCATCACCCTGGCTACAGTTTTGCGGTTTTTTTTATAGAGATGGGGTTTTGTCATGTGGCCCAGGCTGGTCTCAAACTCCTCCTGCTCAAGTGATCTTCCCACCTTAGCCCCCTAAAATGCTGGGATTACAGGCTAAGTCACCATGCTTGGCCTGAACATTCTTGTATAAATTTCTCAGCTCACTGCAACCTCCGCCTCCCGGGTTCAAGGGATTCTCCAAGTAGCTGGGATTACAGGCGTGTGTCACCACACCCAGCTAATTTTTGTATTTTTAGTAGAGATGGGGTATCATCGTGCTGGCCAGGATGGTCTTAATCTCCTGACCTTGTGATCCACCTGCCTCAGCCTCCCAGAGTGCTGGGATTGCAGGCATGAGCCACTACACTTGGCCCCCCCCTTTTTTTTTCTCTTTGAGATGTAGTCTCACTTTGCTGTCTAGGCTAGAGTACAGTGGAGCAATCTCGGCACACTGCAACCTCCGCCTGCCGAGTTCAAGTGATTCTCCTGCTTGAGCCTCACGAGTAGCTGGGACTACAGGCGTGCGCCACCACACCCAGCTAATTTTTTGTATTTTCAGTAGAGACAGGGTTTCACTGTGTTAGCCAGGATGGTCTTGATCTCCTGACCTCATGATCCACCCACCTTGGCCTCCCAAAGTGCTGGGATTACAGGCATGAGCCACCGCGCCCAGTCCGTATGTGGGTTGTTTTTTTTTTTTAAGATGGGGTTTCACCCTGATGGCCAGGCTGGTCTTGAACTCCTGACCTCAGGTGATCCACCCACCTTGGCCTCCCAAAGTGCTAGGATTACAGGCGTGAGCCACCGCTCCCGGCCAGTATGTGGTTTTTTGAGAAGGGTGTGTTCATATTCTTTGGCCATGATCGTGGCTCACCACAGCCTCAGCTTCCTGTTGCCCACTTTTTAATGGGATTATTTCCCTTTTTTTTTTTTTTTTGGTATTGAGTTCTTTGACTTCCTTATATATTCCTCTGCCTGCTTTTTCACTGGGATGCTGTCTTTTGTTGCTGAATTGTGGATTAGTTTGCTAACAAAGTACCACGCACTGGGCGAGTTAAACAAAAGAAATTTATTTCTCACAGTAATGGAGGCTGGAAGTTTAAGATAAAGCAGGTTTGATTTATTCGGAAGCCTCTCTCCCTGGCAGTGCAGCAGCGCCATCCCCGTAGGTTTTTACAAAGACCTCACTGGCTAGTATCTTCACCCAGGGAATAGGGGGCAGGGGTGGGAGCAGGGACACCAGGGAAGTGGCTACCATATTAGTCTGGGCAGGGGATGGAGGTGGTCCTAGTGGTAGCAGTGGAGGTAGCAAGAATCGGTTTTCACCAAGACAGGCTTTTACTCAATGGACAGGCACAGATCCAGGATGATCCTGAAATTTCATGGGGATTTCTTCTGTGTCCAGCAGTTTCATGGGGATTTCTCTTCTGTGGGCAGGTCTCACAGATTTCAAGCCTGGCTACTGGATTGGCGTCCGCTATGATGAGCCACTGGGGAAAAACGATGGCAGGTAACAAGCATTCCCACTCAGGTGTCTGTGCGTGCGTCTGTGTGTAAGTCCATGCGTGCTGTTGGCTGCGCTGCCCATGCCAGCATCTGGAGTGGAGCCATGTGAGGGTCCTCAGACCACATCCACCCCCATCCTGCCTTGCAGTGTGAATGGGAAACGCTACTTTGAATGCCAGGCCAAGTACGGCGCCTTCGTCAAGCCAGCAGTCGTGACAGTGGGGGACTTCCCGGAGGAGGACTATGGGTTGGACGAGATGTGACACCCCAGGAATTCCCCCGCTCCAGCTCATAACTCGGCCACTCACTGCCCCTCCTGTGTGTGCCCATGGCCCTCTTCCTCTGACCCCATTTTAATTTTATTCATTTCTCCTCTGCCGTTGATTTTTGAGACTCATGCATTAAATTCACTAGAAACCTGGAAAGTGTTTGGAGGACTTGATTTGGAGACCCACAGGGTTGCTGGGTAAATAGTGGCCCTTCAGTATCAGGGGCCAGCCTCCATCTCCTTATATATTGCTACTACCCCATCTTATCATTCCCACCTCATCTGCTATGGCTACCAGGAAGAAGGGAAAGGGAGAGGATATTCTTTGACTTTAAAAACTATGTACGGCCGGGCGCGGTGGCTCAAGCCTGTAATCCCAGCACTTTGGGAGGCCGAGGCGGGTGGATCACGAGGTCAAGAGATCGAGACCATCCTGGTCAACGTGGTGAAACCCCGTCTCTACTAATAAGACAAAAAATTAGCTGGGCATGGTGGCACGTGCCTGTAATCCCAGCTACTCAGGAGGCTGAGGCAGGAGAATTGCCTGAACCCAGGAGGCGGAGGTTGCGGTGAGCCGAGATCGCGCCATTGCACGCCAGCCTGGGTAACAAGAGCGAAACTCCGTCTCAAAAAAAAAAAAAAAAAAAAAAAAAACTATGTATGAGGCTGGGTGCGGTGGCTCACGCCTGTAATCCCAGCACTTTGGGATGCCAAGGCAGGTGGATCATGAGGTCAAGAGATTGAGGCTATCCTGGCCAACATGGTGAAACCCCGTCTCTACTAAAAATACAAAAAAAATTAGCTGAACATGGTGGTGCGTGCCTGTAGTCCCAGCTACTGGGGAGGCTAAGGCAGAAGAATTGCTTGAACCCGGGAGGTGGAGGTTGCAGTAAGCCGAGGTCACACCACTGTACTCCAGCCTGGTGCCTGGTGACAGAGTGAGACTCTGTCTCAAAAAAAAAAAAAGAAACTGTACAAGCTTTGCGCAGTGGCAGTATCGTAGCCAATGAGGTTTATCCGAGGTGTGATTATTGCTAACTGAAAAAAAAGTTTAAAAAAATTAAAATAGGCCGGGCACGGTGGCTCAAGCCTGTAATCCCAGCACTTTGGGAGGCCGAGGCGGGTGGATCACGAGGTTGAGAGATCGAGACCATCCTGGTCAACATGGTGAAACCCCGTCTCTACTAAAAATACAAAAAATTAGCTGGGCATGGTGGTGCATGCCTGTAGTCCCAGCTACGCAGGAGGCTGAGGCAGGAGAATTGCTTGAACCCAGGAGGCGGAGGTTGCGGTGAGCCATGATCATGCCATTGCACTCCAGCCTGGGTAATGAGCGAAACTCTGTCTCAAAAAAAAAAAAAAAAGTACAATTCATACCGGGTGTGGTGGCTCACGCCTTGTAATCCCAGCACTTTGGGAGGCTGAGGCGGACGGATCACCTGAGGTTAGGAGTTCGAGACCAGCCTGACCAACACGGAGAAACCTCGTCTCTACTAAAAATACAAAATTAGCCAGGTGTTGTGACGCGTGCCTATAATCTCAGCTACTCTGGAGGCTGAGGCAGGAGAATTGCTTGAACCCGAGAGGCAGAGGTTGCAGTGAGCTGAGATTATGCCATTGCACTCCAGCCTGGGCAACAGAGCAAGACCCTATCTCAAAAACAACAACAACAACAACAACTATGTACAACTCAGCCAGGCATGGTGGCTTATGCCTGTAATCCCAGCATTTTGGGAGGCTAAGCTAGCGGATTGCTTGAGCCCAGGAGTTTGAGACCAGCCTGGGCAACATGGCGAAACTTTGTCTCTACCAAAAATACAAAAAAACGAGGCAGGTGTGGTGGCGCGTGTCTGTAGTCCTAGCTACATGGGAGGCTGAGGTTGGAGGATCACTTGAGCCCAGAAGATGGAGACTACAGTGAGTTAGGATGAGGTACTCCAGCCTGGATGACAGAGCAAGACCCTGTCTCAAAACCAAAAAAAAGAAAAGAGGCCCTGTGTGGTGGCTCACGCCTATAATACCAGCACTTTTGGAGACTGAGGCAGGTGGATCATGAGGTCAGGAGATCAAGACCATCCTGGCCAACATGGTGAAGCCGTGTCTCTACTAAAAATACAAAAATTACCTGGCTGTGGTGGTGCACGCCTGTAATCCCAACTATTTGGGAGGCTGAGGCAGGAAAATGGCTTGAACTCCGGAGGTGGAGACTGCAGTGAGCTGAGATCATGTCACTGCACTCCAGCCTGGCAACAGAGGGAGACTCCGTCTCAAAAAAAAGCAAAGAAAAATAAAAGACCAGGGATGGGGGCTCATGCCTATAATCCAGCACTTTGGGAGGCCTAGGAGGGCAGACCACTTAAACTCAGGAGTTCAAGACCAGCCTGGGCAACATGACAAAAACGCTGTCTTAAACAAACAAACAAACAAAAACAGCTGGGTGTTGTGGTGCATACCTGTAGACCCAGCTACTTGGGAGGCTGAGATGGTAGGATCACCTGAGCCTGGGAAGATAAAAAGCTGCAGTGAGCTGTGTTCACACTACTGCACTCCAGCCTGGGTGACAGATTGAAAGTCTGTCTTTAAAAAAAACAAAACAAAACAAACAAAAAAAAAAAAAACGGGGGCTGAGGCTCATGCCTGTAATCCTAGCACTTTGGGAGGCTGAGGCGGTTGGATCATTTGAGGTCACAGGTTCGAGACCAGCCTGGCCAACATGGTGAAACCCTGTCTCTAAATACAAAAATTAGCGGGGTGTGGCAGCTAGTTCCTGTAGTAATCTCAGCCACTCCGGAGGTTGAGGCAGAAGAATCGCTTGAACCGGGGAGGCAGAGGCTGCAGTGAACCCAGATCGCGCCGCTGCACTTCAGCCTGGGCGACAGAGGGAGACTCCATCTCAAAAAAAAAAAAAAAAAAAAAAAAAAAAAAAAAAAAAAAAAAAAAAAAAAAAAGTGCCTACACCAAGACACTTATGGCGTTGCGTGTCACGTTACTAAAGACTATATACAGCCAACAGTTAACGGGGCCGGTATCCTTTAATCCTCACAGTGGGCCCTATCCGCAAATCTTTCACCGTGGCCGTCCCCACCCCACCTTTCCTGTGCAAAGTTTGGGGTTGGGAGGGAATTCCCAGGAGTTCCCAGGACTTGGGCTCACCTCCCAGGTCCCGGAACCTTAGCGTCTCTAGCCTCTGTAATGACCGCCCAGCTCTCACAAGGGGGCAGCAGCGCACCGTTCAGACGCTGCGCGCCTGGTGCATTACGGGACACGTAGTCTCTAGGGCAGCATACGCGGTAGTTCCAGCCTGGAACGGAAACGGCATTTCCCAGAAAACTGCGCGACCGTTTTAGTCTGGTCTTGCCCGAAGCTGGAAGCTGAGGTCTCGCTCCTCCCGGCGTTGCGGGGGGATGGTGGGACGTAGGTATTGGCTCCTCCCGGTCCCCTCCCAAGCCTGTTCAAGCACAGGGCGTTTCTATTTAAAAAAAAAAAAAGGCGCGGGCTTCTGTACAGCAGGCCGAGCGTAATCCCAGTCGGGAACCAGCGTCCCGGGAGAGGCGCCGGAGCTGACTTTCTGGCCACGGTGAACTCAGGCGGTCAAGCTCCTTAGTGGCTGGAGCTGGCTGGGCCTCTTTGTCCTTCTGCTTTCCTGCATCTGGACTGGTCCCTCTCCCGGGCTCCCGATCCCCTCCCAAGCCTGTTCAAGCACAGGGCGTTTCCATTTAAAAAAAGAAAAAATCCCTTTTGCTGGGCGAGGTGTCAGAGCCCCGGGAGCGAAAGTGTTGGTAATATTAGAATTAATTCCTCTTCACAAATCGGTAACTCCCGGCCGGGCGCGGTGGCTCAAGCCTGTAATCCCAGCACTTTGGGAGGCCGAGGCGGGTGGATCACGAGGTCAAAAGATCGAGACCATCCTGGTCAACATGGTGAAACCCCGTCTCTACTAAAAATACAAAAACATTAGCTGGGCATGGTGGCACGTGCCTGTAATCCCAGCTACTCAGGAGGCTGAGGCAGGAGAATTGCCTGAACCCGGGAGGCGGAGGTTGCGGTGAGCCGAGATCGCGCCATTGCACTCCAGCCTGGGTAACAAGAGCAAAACTCCGTTTCAAAAAAAAAAAAAAACAAAAGAAAGAAAAGAAATCTAACTTCCTTGTCCTTTGTTCTGAAAACTGCCCCTTCCCGCTGCTGCAACCCATACCTTCTCAAATAGCCAATCGGAATCGCCCTAGATTTCGCAACCCCAGCCTTTGAGGGAAAGACCCCAGCCCTCCTTCGTTAGGTGTGCCCTTTCTCTTCCGACTCTCGCAGGCTCGGGCAGCAGCATTCTGCAGCAGTAAAGTTTGCTTTGCATAACTTTTCTCCGGAGTGCCGATCTCTGCGGCACCGAGAACTTATTTCTAACAATTCGGAGGCTCGTTAGGGATTCCCTTTCTCCTCTGGGGAGAAGTCCCTGATCATCTCGTGAGGAGACCGTCCCACTGCCTTGTTGCAGTGGCCCCAGGAGCACGGGGATCGAGACTTCCCCCAGTGTGAGGAATAAACCCAGACTTCCAGCAACGCGGGCGGAAAGGATCCTCTGGACGAAGGTAAGAAACGTCTCGGGGGCGACAAAGTATTTCCTTGGTGGTCGGGATATCTTGGAGGTTGAAAGTGTGCGAGTGAGACGCATGATTCCGTGCAAAAAATCTCCAGTAAGGGGCCTCTAGGGAAAAAAGGCAAGAAATCTCTTGAGACGAGGATTGAGCCTCATACCAAACTTCCAAGATGGGCAATGCGCCAAGTAAGGCAGGAAATTGGAAGGATAAAGCTAGTTGCAATAACACTCCTCCTGATAGTCTTCTAGGTTTCATGTTAAATTATTGGAAGGATAATGAGAAGACTAAACACAAGAAAAAACAGCAAATGATAAAATATTGTTGTTTTATTTTGCTTGGGAAGTGCCTAAATGCCCTCCCCAAAGAAAACTTGGAACTCAAGGTAGAGCAATGTAAAAAGGATATTTAGAACTTCCCCTTCCCGTCTACCTCTAAGGAATCAGCTCTAACTCTCTTCCCCTTAAGAGAGGTGTCCCTGGGAGGAGGAGGGGGCACTTGCTTCATGAATGCCCCCTTAACCAGCTCAGAAGTTCGAAATTTTAAAAAGGAGCTCAAGCCACTATTAGATGACCCATATGGAGTGGCAGACCTGATTGATCAATTTTTAGGGCCCCAGTTGTATACTTGGGCCGAGTTCATGTCTGTTAGGCATCGTCTTTTCAGGGGAAGAAAGGAGCAGGACCCAGAAAGCCGCTGTGTAGTCTGTGAACATGAACACCCTGCTGGCCAAAACATTCCTGCAGCAGACCAAAAATTCCCAGCCCAAGACCCTCAATGGGATAATAACAGTGCAGCCCACCGATAAACTATGAAAGATCTTAGAGAAATGATAGAGGAATTCAAGAGTCAGTGGCCCAAACTCAAAACCTTTCTCGAGCATTTGAAATACAACAAAGAAAAGATGAAAGGCCTATGGCATTTTTAGATAGACTAAAAGAGCAAGTGAGAAAATATGCAGGCCTGGATTTAGAGAACCCCCTTTGGCAAGGAATTAAAGCTACATTTTGTTACAAACAATTGGCCAGACATTGCTAAGAAATTGCAAAAGAGAGAATTGGAAAGATTGAGCTATGGAAGAGCTTTTGAAAGAAGCTTGCTGGCACGGTGGCTCAAGCCTGTAATCCCAGCACTTTGGGAGGCCGAGGCGGGTGGATCACGAGGTCAAGAGATCGAGACCGTCCTGGTCAACATGGTGAAACCCCATCTCTACTAAAAATACAAAAAAATTAGCTGGGCATGGTGGCGCGTGCCTGTAATCCCAGCTACTCAGGAGGCTGAGACAGGAGAATTGCCTGAACCCAGGAGGCGGAGGTTGCGGTGAGCCGAGATCGCGCCATTGCACTCCAGCCTGGGTAACAAGAGCAAAACTCCTTCTCAAAAAAAAAAAGAAAAAGAAAAAAGAAAAAAAGGCCGGGCGCGGTGGCTCAAGCCTGTAATCCCAGCACTTTGGGAGGCCGAGGCGGATGGATCACGAGGTCGAGAGATCGAGACCATCCTGGTCAACATGGTGAAACCCCGTCTCTACTAAAAGTGCAAAAAATTAGCTGGGCATGGTGGCACGTGCCTGTAATCCCAGCTACTCAGGAGGCTGAGGCAGGAGAATTGCCTGAACCCAGGAGGCGGAGGTTGCGGTGAGCCGAGATCGCGCCATTGCACTCCAGCCTGGGTAACAAGGGCGAAACTCCGTCTCAAAAAAAAAAAAGAAAAAAAGAAAGAAGCTCAAAAAGTTTATGTAAGAAGAAATAAAGAAAAGCAAAAACAAAAAGCAAAGACTGTTATCCAGCTTCCAACAGGGAGCTCCAAAAGATGGGGCCCGTTGCCCAGAGACCCCTACACTCCTAGACAAAGCCTCCAGGGAGACAAAACTTAGAAAGGATGCAAGCCCTCATTTGCCAGGCCGTATAAGGGACACAGGGAGGCAAAGCCAAGAACTCTAGAACTGGAAGTGAATAAGGACAAAATAAATGTTTTAGGCCAGGCGCAGTGGCTCACGCCTGTAATCCCAGCACTTTGGGAGGCCGAGGCGGATGGATCACGAGGTCAAGAGATCGAGACCATCCTGGTCAACATGGTGAAACCCCGTCTCTACTAAAAATACAAAAAATTACCTGGGCATGGTGGCCCGTGCCTGTAATCCCAGCTACTCAGGAGGCTGAGGCAGGAGAATTGCCTGAGCCCAGGAGGCGGAGGTTGCGGTGAGCCGAGATCGCGCCATTGCACTCCAGCCTGGGTAACAAGAGTGAAACTCCATCTCAAAAAACAAATAATAATAAATATTTTGAATGTGGAAGAATAGGTCATTTCAAGAGGACATGTCCCGAATGGGAAAAAGAAAGAGATCATTCCACGCATGGCCTTCTGTCTCTTTTACATTGAGTCCCACCAAGAGCCCTTGATAAATTTAGAGGTGGGACCCAAACGTGAACTTATAACCTTTTTAATAGATTCTGGAGCAGCTGGCTCCTCTGTTTGTTCCCTTCCACCTAGTGTCACCTGCTCCTCAGATGAGCTGTTTATCTCAGGGGTAAAGGGAGAAGGACTTAAAGCAAAAATTTTAGAAGGCATAGAGATCAGATACTGCTGGGGGAAAACAGCAATGAAGGAAGGGGTTACAGTGTGCCCACATAAACTGGTTATAAGTAATGTATTAAGGAAATCAGGAAAAATAAACAGCAGAAGGCCACAGAGGCCTCTGGGGAGGAAGGCCTCTCTATGCCAGCATGTTCCCATGTACAGAATGACCCAAGCTCTGACATTTTTTTTTCTTTTTTTTTTTTTTTTTTTTTTTTTTGAGGCGGAGTTTCGCTCGTTACCCAGGCTGGAGTGCAATGGCGCGATCTCGGCTCACCGCAACCTCCGCCTCCTGGGTTCAGGCAATTCTCCTGCCTCAGCCTCCTGAGTAGCTGGGATCACAGGCACGTGCCACCATGCCCAGCTAATTTTTTGTATTTTTGTAGAGACGGGGTTTCACCTTGTTGACCAGGATGGTCTCGATCTCTTGACCTCGTGATCCATCCGCTTCGGCCTCCCAAAGTGCTGGGATTAGAGGCTTGAGCCACTGCGCCCAGCCCAAGCTCTGACATTTGAAACAGTGCTCAAAGAGATAACATTCCTCTGAAGCCCTGGAATGTAGCCAGATATGTAGGCTCCTTGTTAAGCCCATTCCCACCGGCTGCACATAGATAATTACCTATAAAATAAGCATAAGAGTTAAAGCATAACTCTTAGGAAACTCACATAAACCTTCACTGCTATTATTTTTTTTTTTTTTTTTTTTTTTTTGAGACGGAGTTTCACTCTTTTTACCCAGGCTGGAGTGCAATGGCGCGATCTTGGCTCACCGCAACCTCCGCCTCCTGGGTTCAGGCAATTCTCCTGCCTCAGCCTCCTGAGTAGCTGGGATTACAGGCATGTGCCACCATGCCCAGCTGATTTTTTTTTTTTTTTTTTTTTTTTTTTTTTGAGACGGAGTTTCGCTCTTGTTACCCAGACTGGAGTGCAATGGCGCGATCTCGGCTGACCGCAACCTCCGCCTCCTGGGCTCAGGCAATTCTCCTGTCTCAGCCTCCTAAGTCGCTGGGATTACAGGCATGCGCCACCACGCCCAGCTAGTTTTTTGTATTTTTAGTGGAGACGGGGTTTCACCATGTTGACCAGGATGGTCTCGATCTCTCGACCTCGTGATCCACCCGTCTCGGCCTCCCAAAGTGCTGGGATTACAGGCTTGAGCCACCGCGCCCGGCCGATTTTTTGTATTTTTAGTAGAGACGGGGTTTCACCGTGTTGACCAGGATGGTCTCGATCTCTTGACCTTGTGATCCACCCGCCTCAGCCTCCCAAAGTGCTGGGATTACAGGCTTGAGCCACCGCACCCGGCTTCACTGCTATTAATTTTATGTTTGACACACAGCTTCCCTTTCACCAATTCACCACACCATCTGCACTATCAATCAAAGTGATCGTATTCAATAAATACTGCAGAAACCAGAGCCCTGGGCCGTTGCAGCCTCCCTTTTGCATTGGCCCCCTGTTCCCACTTCATGCACTTTTAACCTGTCTTTGTCTCATTCCTTTGTTGCCACCAAACTCGGAGTACCCATGGGTAGTGTGTGGGGGCTGGCACCCTACAAATACAAAGACCAATCAACCCACATTAAATTTTTGTTTATCCCTGAAGCAGGAATTATTAGGAAGAGACTTAATGCTAAAACTAAGTGTCAGCCTACATGTTGGCCCAGAGAGATTCCCTAGCTCATTAAATCCACTCACCACCGCAGAGGAAAAATACATTCATCCTGATGTCTGGTCAAGGAAGGGAAATTGGGGAAGACTCCAAGTCTCTACAATACATATTAAGTTAAACACCCCTGGGGAAATAGTGAGAAGGAACACTATTCCATTCCCCTAGAAGGTAGAATAGGTTTAAAGCCTGTAATTGAAGGTCTCATTCAAGACAGGCTGCTTGAACCCTGCATGTCTCCTTCTAACTCCCCAATACTGCCTGTAAAGGAATCAGATGGGTCATACCAACTAGTGCAAGATCTCCAGGCTATCAGCCAAATAGTTCAGATTACCCGCTCTGTTGTCCCCAACCCTTAAACCATGCACAACAAAATTCCATATGACCATCAATGGTTCACAGTAATAGATTTCAAGGATGCCTTCTGGGCATGCCTTTGAATGGGAAGATCTCCATTCTGACAGAAGCAACAGTACTGATGGACACTCTTGCCTCAAAGGTTCACAGATTCACCTAATCTTTTTGGTCAAATCCTAGAGCAAGTTCTAGAGCAAATTTCTACCCCCAAATGCATATGCCTACTCCAACATGTGGATGATTTGCTGGTATCTGGTGAGGCTGTGGAAAAGGTATCTGGCTTCTCTATCAGTCTCCTTAATCATTTGCAAGGAAAAGGGTTACAGGTCTCAAAGGGAAAGCTTCAGTTCCTAGAGCCAGAAGTTAAATACCTAAGGACACTTGATAAGTAAAGGCAGACAAAGGATAGGGCTTGAGCGAGTTGAGTGGTGTCCTTACCTTTGTCTAAGACTAAGCAGGAACTCAGGAATTTTTAGGATTAGTTGGATATTGCCTCTTATGGATTGACTCATATGCCCTAAAAAGAAAACCTTTATACCTAAAGTTTACCCAAGAAAAACTTGACCCTCTCTTGTGGGCTTCTGAAGAAATCTACCAGGTTGAGGAACAAAAACACCTAGCTCTGCCTTCCTTAGAAAAGCCATTTTACCTTTTCGTTAATGTAAACAAGGGTGTAGCTTTAGGGGTACTTACCCAAGAACATGGGGGCCATCAGCAACCTGTAGCCTTCGTATAGAAAGTTTTAGATCCAGTAACCTATGGGTGGCCCAAATGTATTCAATATATTGCAGCTACTGCCTTGTTAACTGAAAAAAGCAGAAAGCTAACCTTTGGGGGAAATTTCGCTGTGAGCACAGCCCATCAAGTCAGAACTATCTTAAACCAGAAAGTAGGGAGATGGAATTTTGAAGTGTGAAGCTATCTTATGAGAGAGGGATGGCTTAGCACTAATCACCGACAGTTCACTCAACCCAGCAGGTTTCCTAACAGGGAACCCAAATCTAAAAGGACCTGAGCATAAGTGTTGAGATTTCATTGATTATCATGTAAAGGTTAGATCCGATTTCAGAGAGACTCCTTTCAAAACAGGGCAACACCTGTTTATAGATGGTTCCTCCCGGGTAGTTGAAGGAAAAATACATAATAGGTAAAAAATGGCAAAGCTCTGGCAGTAGAGTCGGGAAGATTTCCCAATAATTGGTCCTTCCAAGCGTGTGAACTGTTTGCATTGAATCAAGCTTTGAAGTACTTGCAAAACCAGGAGGGGACTATTGATACTGATTCCAAATATGCCTTCGGATAGCCCATACCTTTGGGAAAATGTGGACTGAATGAGCTCTCATTAATAGCAAAGGCCAAGACCTTGTCCACAAAGAATTAATCACCCAAGTATTAGATAACCTCCAGCTGCCAGAAGAAATAGCTATTGTCTATGTCCCCAGATGCCAGAAAGGTCTTTTTTTTTTCTCTTTTTGAAAGATAAGGGAAGGCTGGGTGCAGTGACTCACGCCTGTAATCTCAGCACTTTGGGAGGCTGAGGCAGGTGGATCACGAGGTCAGGAGTTTGAGATCATCCTGGCCAACATGGTGAAACCCCATCTCTACTAAAAATTTAAAAATTAGCCAGGCATGGTGGCACACACCTGTAATCTCAGCTTCTCAGGAGGCTAGGCAGGAGAATCGCTTGAACTCGGGAGGTGGAGGTTGTAGTGAGCTAAGATTGCCCATTGCACGCCAGCCTGGCGACAAAGCAAGACTCTGTCTCAAAAAAAAAAAAAAAAAAAAAAAGGAAAGAAAGTTGAGGGAATAACCTTGCGGATCAAATAGCCAAGCAAGCTGCCATTTCCTCTGAAATGCCCATTTTTCACCTAACCCCTTATCTTTCTCCCCAGACTGCAGTTCCCATCTTCTCTTCTGCTGAAAAAGAGAAATTAATGAAAATAAGGGCCAAAGAGAACTCAGCAGGGACATGAGTGTTACCAAAGAGAAATGTTATCCAAACCCCTCACGAGGGAAATCAGCTGCACTGAGGAACTCAGTGGGGACCCCAAGCTTTGTGTGATGCAGTTCTTAGGGGTTTAATGGATGTATGGGAATTTGTACTCTGGCAAGACAGATAGCTGCCGAATATGCAAAAAGACTAATAAGCAGACCCTAAGAAAACCACCCCTTGGGGGAAGAAGTCCAGGATTAAGACCGTTCCAAAGTGTCCAAATTGATTACACCAAAATGCTCCCAATCGGTTGCCTAAATTACTGATTAGTGGTAGCAGATCACCTCACTCACCGGGTGGAAGCTTTTCCCTTTTAAAGTGCAACTGTTAATAATGTAGTTAAAGCATTAATTGAAAATGTTATACACAAATTTGGATTGATAGGAAATATTGATTCAGATAATGGGACCCATTTCACTGCACACATCATTAAGAAACTGGCCCAAGTGCTAGACATAACATGGAAATACCAAGGGTCAGAACTGCCGCTGGGAAAGATGTTGGCCTGTCTCCTTATGAGATGCTATGTAGGTTCCCTTATTTACACTCCACTGCTGACATTCCCACATTTGAAATGAAACACTGGTTTCTCAAAAACTATAAACTTGGTCTGTCTTCTATTTTCTCTTCCCTCAGGACCAAAGGTCTTTTAGCACAGACGCCACCACTGGAGTTCCCAGTGCACCGGTACCAGCCTGGAACTTACGTCCTCATTAAGAGTTGGAAGGAGGAAAACTCAACCGGCTTGGGAGGGACGCTATCTAGTGCTTCTAACTACCGAGACCACAGGCCGAACCACAGAAGGAGGGTGGACTCATCATATCTGAATCAAGAACACGCTGCTACCTTCAAAATCATGTTTTGTTCCAGGATCAAGTCCCCTGAAACTAAAGCTAAGAAAAGCCTAACCTTATATTTCTTATATTGTCTCTTCTTCTTCCCTCATTCTGCTGTCAGCGTGATTAGAACCCAATGTTGCTCTTTGATCCCTGATAATACTGGCCCCAACGGAACCATAACTAAAGCGCTAGAAGGTCTAACTGGTTTATCCAATGAGCTAGACAAAAACTCTGGAATAGACGACCCTTTCACTAGTTTAATGGAGAGATGGTTTGGCGAATGGAAAGTACTCGGGGCGTCTATTCTCATTTCCCTTGCAGTTGTAGTAGGTGTGCTCATTCTCATAGGGTGTTGTTTGATGCCTTGTGTCCGTGGATTAGTTCGAAAGCTCATAGCAACAGCTCTTTCCAAAACCTCTCGAAGCTCTCCCCTACCCTATTCAGGTAAACTTTTACTTCCAAATCAGCAAGAAGAGAAGAAAAGCCATGTCCTGGTAAAAGTATTTGAAGAGGAAGAATTACAAAATCAAAAGGGGAAAAATTGTTAGAATGAGTTCCTCTTCAGAAATCTAACTTCCTTATCCTTGGTTCTGTAAACTGCCCTTATTTGAAATAGTGCTTAGATTGTGCAGTCCAACCCCAGCCAATGGGGGAAAGACAGAAGTAGGAACCGCGTTAGGGTAAAAAACCCTGCTCTCCTTTGTTAGATGTGCTCTCACGACGGTTACAGGTGCGGGCAGCACCCTTCTGTAGAAGTAAACTTTGTTGAGAAACTTTTCTCCTGAGTGTTTGTCTTTCTCTGTGGCACCAAGAACTTATTTTTAAAAGTAAGAAGAGGCTGGGCACGGTGGCTCACCCCTGTAATCCTAGCACTTTGGGAGGCTGAGACAGGCAGATCATGAGGTCAGGAGTTCGAGACCAGCCTGACCAACATTGTGGAACCCCGTCTTTACTAAAAATACAAAAATGGGCCGGGCGTGGTGGCTCAAGCCTGTAATCCCAGCACTTTGGGAGGCCGAGGCAGGTGGATCACGAGGTCAAGAGATCAAGACCATCCCGGTCAACATAGTGAAACTCTGTCTCTACTAAAAATACAAAAAATTAGCTGAGCATGGTGGCGCGTGCCTGTAATCCCAGCTACTCAGGAGGCTGAGGCAGGAGAGTTGCCTGAACCCAGGAGGCGGAGGTTGCGGTGAGCCGAGATCGTGCCATTGCACTCCAGCCTGGGTAACAAGAGTGAAACTCCGTCTCAAAAAAATAATAATAATAATACAAAAATTAGCTGGGCATGGTGGCAGGTGCCTGTAATCCCAGCTACTCAGGAGCCTGAGGCAGAAGAATTGCCTGAACCTGGGAGGCAGAGGTTGCGGTGAGCCGAGATTGTGCCACTGTGCTCCAGCCTGGGCAACAGAGTGAGACTTCGTCTCAAAAAAAAAGTAAGGCCGGGCGCGGTGGCTCAAGCCTGTAATCCCAGCACTTTGGGAGGCCGAGGCGGGTGGATCACAAGGTCAAGAGATCGAGACCATCTTGGTCAACATGGTGAAACCCCGTCTCTACTAAAAATACAAAAAAAAATAGCTGGGCGTGGTGGTGCGTGCCTGTAATCCCAGCTACTCAGGAGGCTGAGGCAGGAGAATTGCCTGAACCCAGGAGGCGGAGGTTGCGGTGAGCCGAGATCGCGCCATTGCACTCCAGCCTGGGTAACAAGAGCGAAACTCCGTCTCAAAAAAAAAAAAAAAAAAAAAAAGTAAGAAGAGTTTACCAAGATCAGCATAGGTTTGAAAAAAGAAGTTTTATTAGAATGCTGCTTAGCGCAGTGGCTCACGCCTGTAATCCCAGCACTTTGGGAGGCTGAGGTGCACAGATTGCCTGAGCTCAGGAGTTCAAGACCAACATGGGCGACACGGTGAAACCCTGTCTACTAAAATACAAAAAATTAGCTGGGCATAGCAGCATGTGCCTGTAGTCTCAGCTACTTGGGAAGCTGAGGCAGGAGAATTGCTTGAATCCAGGAGGCGGAGGTTGCAGTGAGCTGAGATCTTGCCACTGCACTCCAGCCTGGGCAACAGAGCTAGATTCCATCTCAAAAAAAAAAGTGCTGCAGGCCAGGTGAGGTGCTCATGCCTGTAGTCCCAGCACTTTGGGAGGCCAAGGCAGGTGGATCACCTGCGGTTAGGAATTCAAGACCAGCCTGGCCAACATGGTGAAACCCCGTCTCTACTAGAAATAAAAAAATTAGGCCGGGCGTGGTGGCTCAAGCCTGTAATCCCAGCACTTTGGAAGGCCGAGGCGGGTGGATCACGAGGTCAAGAGATCGAGACCATCCTGGTCAACATAGTGAAACCCCGTCTCTACTAAAAATACAAAAATTAGCTGGGCATGGTGGCGCATGCCTGTAATCCCAGCTACTCAGGAGGCTGAGACAGGAGAATTGCCTGAACCCAGGAGGCGGAGGTTGCAGTGAGCCGAGATCCGCGCCATTGCACTCCAGCCTGGGAAACAAGAGCGAAACTCTGTCTCAAAAAAAAAAAAAAAAACTAGCTGGGCGTGGTGGTGCATGCCTGTTGTCCCACCTATTTGGGAGGCTGACGCATGAGAATTGCTTGAACACAGGAGGCAGAGGTTGCAGTGAGCCAAAATTTCGCCACTGCACTCCAACCTGGGCAACAAGAGCGAAACTCTGTCTCCAATAAATAAATAAACAAACAAGTAAACACATGGGCCAGGGAGAAGGTTTGGAAGCATGACTAAAGTTTAGCCAAGCAGATAATTTTTTTCAATTGTGTTGCCAGCCTGATCCATCCATTATAAAACCATAGTCAAAGTTCAGAAAAGAGGTCTGGTGTTCTGTTACTTCCTCCTCCTCCCTCTCTCTGCTGCACAAAAACAATTTTTCTTTCTTAATTGCAAAAGCCCTTCCTTTGTTACTGAACTCAAAAGGCAATTTTCCACCTCAGTGTACTGTTCCTGCAATAACAGCTGACATTTAGATGAGCAGTTCGTTTGTTTTGTTTTGTTTTGTTTTTGAGACCAAGTCTTGCTCTGTTGCCCAGGCTGGAGTGCAGTGGCATGATCTTGGCCCACAGTAGCAATTCTCCTGCCTCAGCCTCTCAAGTAGCTGAGATTACAGGTGCTTGCCACCACGCCCAGCTGATTTTGTATTTTTAATACAGATGGGGGTTCCATTATGTTGGTCAGGTTGGTCTTGAACTCCTGACTTCAAATGATCCTCCCACCTTGGCCTCCTGAAGTGCTGGGATTACAGGTGTGAGCCACTGCACCTGGCCTGTGAGTGGCTCTTAAACATTTGTGTCTTAGGACTTCTTTACACTCTTGAAGGTTATTGATGACCTCAAAGAGCTTTTTATCAGTGTTAAATCTGTAGAGATTAGCCACATTAGAAATTTAGAATTTTAGGCTGGGCACCATGGCTCACTCCTGTAATCCCAGCCCTTTGGGAGGCCAAGGTGGGTGGATCATGAGATCAGGAGTTCAATATCAGCCTGGCAAACATAGTGAAACCCCGTCTCTACTAAAAATACAAAAATTAGTGGGGCATGGTGGTGCACACCTGCAGCCCCAGCTACTCAGGAGGCTGAGGCAAGAGCATCACTTGAACCTGGGAGATAAAGGTTGCAGTAAGCCGAGATCATGCCACTGCACTCCAGCCTGGGTGACAGAGTGAGATTCCATCTTGGTGGGGGTGGAATAAATTTAGAATTTTAAATATTTTTTTAAAAAATTGCATGTATTTAAAAAAGTTTTTCAGCCAGGCGTGGTGGCTCATGCCTGTAATCCCAGCACTTTGGGAGGCTGAGGTAGGGGATCACTTGAGGTCAGGAGTTCAATACCAGCCTGGCCAACATAGTGAAGCCCCGTCTCTTCTAAAAATACAAAATTAGCTAGGAGTGGTGGCTCATGCCTATAATCCCAGCTACTCGGGAGGCTGAGGCAGGAGAATCGCTTGAACCTGGGAGATGGAGGTTGCAGTGAGCTGAGATCAAGCCACTGCACTCCAGCCTGGTCAACAGAGCGAGACTCCATCTCAAGAAAAAAACAACAACAAAAAAACCACACCAAATTCCTAGTCTACAAAAATGCAGGAAAAAGAAAATGGCTGTTTTAAGATGCTAATGGCCCTGTGCAGTGGCTCACGCCTGTAATCCCAGCACTTTGGGAGGCCTAGGCGGGCAGATCATGAGGTCAGGAGTTTGAGACCAACCTGGCCAACACAGCAAAACTTTGTCTCTTTTAATTTAAAAATAAAATCAGCCTGGCATGGTGGCAGGCACCTGTAATTCCAGCTACCTGGGAGGCTGAGGCAGGAGAAGAATTGCTTAAACCTGTGAGGCAGAGGTTGCAGTTAGCTGAGATTGCCATTGCACTCCAGCCCAGGAAACTTCGAGACTCCGTCTTAAAAAAAAAAAAAAGAGGCTGAGGTTTAGATAATGTTTTTGTTATTATGTTGGCCAGGCCGGTCACCAACTCCTGGCCTCAGGTGAACCTTCCGCCTCAGTCTCCCAAAGTGCTGGGATTACAGGTGTGAACCACTGCGCCCAGCTGGTACAGATTTACTTTGCTCTGTTGCCAGGCTGGAGTTCAGTGGCGCAATCTCAGCTCACTGCAACCTCTGCCTCCTGGGTTCAAGTGATTCTCATGCCTCAGCCTCTCAAGTAGCTGGGATTATAGGCGTGCACCACCACACCCAACTAATTTTTTTGTATTTTTAGTAGAGATGGGGTTTCACCATGTTAGCCAGGATGGTCTCAATCTCCTGACCTCGTGATCCTCCCACCTTGGCCTCCCAAAGTGCTGGAATTTTCTTGCTCATACAAAGTCAGCTGTGGGTCTGGGTGACTGTTGACGGCAGAAGTCCTCAATGCCAGGGCTCAGCCCTCTTCCTTCATGTGGCACCTCTGGGTTTGTCTAGCTCCAGTGCAGCCCAGGTGGAGTACACAGAGCATGGGGCATTCTGCACTGCTTTCCCCCGCCCCACCCCCGCCATTGGGCTGGAGTGCAGTGGTTGCACTGGTTTCTAAATGCTTCTACAAGGAGCATTTAAAGTGTTCTATATCCAGGGCCGGGCGCGGTGGCTCAAGCCTGTAATCCCAGCACTTTGGGAGGCCGAGGCGGGTGGATCACGAGGTCAAGAGATCGAGACCATCCTGGTCAACATGGTGAAACCCCGTCTCTACTAAAAATACAAAAAAATTAGCTGGGCATGGTGGCTCATGCCTGTAATCCCAGCTACTCAGGAGGCTGAGGCAGGAGAATTGCCTGAGCCCAGGAGGCGGAGGTTGCGGTGAGCCGAGATTGCGCCATTGCACTCCAGCCTGGGTGACAAGAGCGAAACTCCGTCTCAAAAAAAATAAAAATAAAAATAAATAAAGTGTTCTATATCCAACACTTCTACTTAATGTTTTATTGGTCAAAGTAAGTCACATAACTATCCCTGAGTTCAGCAGAGCCTGGGAGATGGCAGAGGGCATTAGTAATGCTTTCCCTACTGTCTCACTGCTGGTGCTGAAAATCCAATGAGAAAATACACACAAAATATTTCATTCATTTACTCAACAAATGTTTACTAGGCACCTACCATGTGCCAACCACTCTTCTAGGAACTTGATACATACCTGTGAGTGAGTATATAGCAGTGGATGAGACAGATAGAAATCCCGGTCTGTGGCAAGCTCACATTCTAGTGGAGGAGACAGAAACTGGATAAATAGGTAGAGTACACAGGGGCAAGCCCAGCACTTTGGGAGGCTGAGGTGGGCA